ACAATATTTTACAAAGAAACCCCTAGACTTCTTCAATATCCTTTTTTTACCAATAGGATCCTAAATTAGGTTGTCAGATGTAACGAAGAGAACATTTCATACTTGTAGTGGCCACCATGAGTTACTGGTCCTATCATTCAAACTTACGAACATTCCAACCACCTTCAGAGAATGAATCATAATTTTACTCTCTACTTCTACGCCCATTCAATATTTAAATCATTGACAATGATTAGTATAGTTGAAGATATTTGAACCGCACAAATAACACTTCACACTACTCAACAAACTCCATAAGAACGTCAACCTTGTGCCAAATTCTTAACATTGAATTACTCACTATACAGCATTTTTATTTTCCTTGGAATGGTGAGTGTTGAAGAGATCTTAGTAGATCCACAAAAGATTTTAGGCATCATAGAATGTACGATATCAACTTGCGTATCAAAAGTTACAAATGTTCTTGAATTTTTTAGATATCATTGATGATGTGTTTTGGCCTTCTCGCAACCTTGATTAAATGAATCGACTCATCAAACCATAGATGAAAGATGCACAACTTGCCTACCAAATTCATGCTGAAAATAAGGCCTACCAAAATTAGAATATGTAAATAGCTAAACAAACAAATTGAAAATTACAATTTACAAAATGATGCAATTCTATGAACATGTCTCAAATAATTCAGCCTAGGAAGAAACATTTTAGAGAAGCATATTCTACAAAATTGTATATAAAAAATATGCCACGTTGATCCTGAAAATATCTGACGGTCTAAAGAAGACGAGAAAATTAAAGGTAGGTCCACCGACAAAAGGACCAGAGACTCACAAAGCTGATCAAATACATTCAGACAAACCAAGGCTCATAAAGCCGACCGGATATATTCAGACGAACCAAGGCTTACAAAGCCGACTGCATAAATTTAGACGAACCAGGACCTACAAAGCCGACTAGATACATTCAAAAGAACCAAGGCCTACAGAGCCGACTAGATACATCACACTTGTAAAATACCAAGAGTATCTTGTAACACCCTCATTAAAACAATGTCGCAAATGTAATATTACTAGATCTTACTCAATCTCCAATAAATAGAGAGATCATTTCATGTACAAAGAGCAGAATAATTTTTTATAAAATTGAAAAGGTCTACCCCAAGAAGACCCCGTTAGCGCCGAGATAGCAAGTCATTTTGCACTCCTCCCTTTATTTCTCACCTCCTTTTCTTACTTCACGCACAAACCAAGATCCAATATCCTAAAAGGTGGGGTAAGTGTGGATCATGCCCCAGCCAAAAAGAGGAGCAGCCCACAAAAAAGAAACCCACAATAGAAACATCGTCAACATGGAGTGCACCAGAGAGTTTGTGAACAAACAGATCCAGGAGTTGAAGGATTAAGTGTTGGAACTCATCTGACATGCATAGGCTCGGGGGAAGAGTCCCCAAGGGGAAGGGCCAACGCCAATCGACCAACAACAATACTTCGATAGTGTCGGGTAGGCACCAATCGACTGACATCGACTAGGATGCGCTAAGACGCCCCAAAATCTAGAGAATGTATTCTCGCGACAAATCTCTGAAGCCCGGCTACCAGAGAGGTTCAAGATCTTGACAGTAGAGTCCCATACAGGCACATCCGATCCAACCAACCACATAGCCTCATTTGAATCAACAGCGTCTACTGAGTATCAATGACCCATTAAAGTGTCATCTTCTCTTCGCCACGCTGAGGTCGACTCTTACGTGGCTCGACATCTTTCCACCATGAGTGATCACATCGTTCGTTGACTTCAAACAAATATTTGTGGTGCAATTTTCCAGCGCCCAAAAGCCCCAATAAAGTTCACAAACCCTCCTGCAAATCTAGCAAGAATAAAGCGAGTGCCTTCACTCGTTCATCGCACGTTTTCAAAAGGAGAAGTTGGAAGTGCAAGACCTGGAGCCCGCAAGGGGTGAAAAAAGAACTGTTCTGATACTCGCTAGGCCTGCAGTGACCGAAGACCCTAGCCTAGCTATTGGAGCTAGCCAACAGTCGCATTTGACAGAAGAATACAACTCCTCCACATCATTTAGAACTTAACGAGCCAATTGGAATCCACCTAAAAGAACCGACAATGAAAAAGCAAGAATCAAGGCACTATTTTAACCACTCAACTCGAGCTCGCCTCAAAGACTTACAGAACATGCCACCGAGGGAGTCGGGACCGATATCTTGACTAGTGGTCGACTCGATAACTACTCTGACTGACACTCGGGGAACTTTGGGAGTTAATATAATAGTTTGTTTTGGATTCAATTGACACTCGAGGAATTCGAGCCTACTTGTTAGCAATACTTCATTCAAGCAAAAAAAAAATGATTGACAACAATACTCAACGTCCAATCGGTTCAATTTTCTTAAATTTTCGACAACGACTAATTATCAGCAAAATTCATAAGAACCAACCCTTAATACTCACTCTTCATAAGAACTTATATCTCTTAACTCGGAACGGGCCAAACCCTGGTAATGATTCACTACCCATGAGAGATAAGATTCACAGTGGATGGTGTATGAATCCCCCCGGCAGTAAATCTCGACAGTTGCCCAGCAAAGGCTGGGATGAGATTCACTTAATACGCCTAGCGGCCCATCCAAGGCGAAGACATAAGAAGTGTGAGACCTGAGCCAGGCAAAAACTCAATAAAATTGACCAAAGGAATCCTTGAAAAAGCCGACTCATCAATCATTATAATTTGAGCATATATTACGAGAAAAATAAAAAACCAAGTAGAGGTAAAATGTCAAAAATAAAAGAGAAAACTGACTGACCGCTTCACTTTATTTCATACTTATAAAGTTACAAAGAAGTTTCTACACATTTCTATACAAATGATAAAAACAAAGAAACCAACGCCAATCAAGCTCAACAAACCGACAAAACACCGACTGAATAGAGTCGGTCGAACCGGTCCTATCGTCTCAAAGGCCCTGGGAGAGTACTTCGGAGCCATTGAAACAGAGCACAAAGAAAGCAAAATTCGAGGGAATTTAATTATTAAGTCATAAATATGATCAAATTTTTTGCATTAAAATGCTCTTATTCTTATCGCAACTTCATTTTAAAAAAGTAAGAGAATCGAAAAACGAGATATGCATAAATATGGTCATGCTGATCGTGAAGAGATCTAACGGTCCAGAGGAGATGAGAACAATAAAGGAATGTCCACGAACAGAAGACAAAAATGCTCACAAAGCCGACCGGATACATTCAGAAGAATCAAGGCTCACAAACCCGACTGAATACATTCAGACGAACCAAAGCTTGCAAAGTCGACTGGATACATTTAGAAAAACCAAGGCTCACAAAGCTGATTGAATACATTTAAACGAACCAAGACCTACAAAGCTGAATGAATACATTCAGGCGACCCAAGCCGTATAAAGCGGACTAAATACATTGCACAAGCAAAATATTAAGAATATCATATAACGCCATCATTAAGCGGGGTCACAAATGTAATGTCACTAGATCATTCTCAATCCCCTATACATAGAGAAAATATTCCATGTACAAAGAAGAAAACTTTTTGACAAAATAAAAAGGTCCACAAGAGGCCCGAGAAGACCCCATTAGCCTCGAGATGGCAAGTCACTGTGCACTCTTCCCCCTGTTTCTCACCTTCTTCCATCCTTGTGCTCTATTTCATTTACCAGAGACCTAACAAGATGTACCTAAACTGAAAGACCTATGTTTGGTAGCTTGTATTAAAGAAAGAAATCAAAGACCATGTGGCCAAGTAATTAACTTGCGACTGGAAAATACAAATAACGGAACAAAGTACTCCATCTCTGACCTAAAACTTGTAATTGTGAATGAAATATAACATATTAATTGGATTTAAATGGAGAAATGATATTTCATCAATATAATCTCAAAATATGGCGGCTCTTTGTAGTGCGAGTCAAATTATTTTGCAAACCTTACTGGTTGCAAAATGCTTTTTCATCAGCAAATCCTGCTAAATGAGCATTATTTCATTCAACACAATTGTTAGTCTGAACTTATGGGAATGCATTCAGTTATTGCAGTTTTACCAAAAAGCCATTACATATATAACACTATAAATTTCAGAATTTACAAAACTACAATTATTTTACCTCCAATTTCCAAATTTTCACCTAACAATCGAAATTCAAAGGAAAACTTAAATATCAAATTTATGTTTTTTAAAATTCTAATGATATGATCGTGCGAGTAATTAAATGATTTTGATAAATAAAAAACAATATCTCGAGCATTAAATTTGTAAATAGATAAACGGTAGATATGTATCGCTCTCACACGTTTAGCCAGGACACGGCAGCAGCCAACCGATATCAAATTATTGATGATGCTGATGGGCAGGCCCCCCATCAAATTAATATTGCAGCCTGGCCGTCGGCTATAATGATACACGTCAGTTGCCTAAAACGACAAATATCTGTAATCCTGAAGCGTACAGGCGAGGCGACCATGCGGTCTATAGCTATACTCTCAATTAAAATGTTGGAATATTTAAAACATACCACTAAATTCCTATGTATTTATATATTTAACACACACAAACTTTACATAAATGTCTCCTTATGTATGAAAAAGATAAATTTTAGGCCTAAATGTAAAAAAGATAACTTTCGGTGTTGCACGTGTAAATACATCTAAATGCCCAAAAATGTTTTGGTCAGAGTAATGTATAATACATCACATAAGTTTTATATATTTATCTATCAAATACTTAAGTTTTTATATTTGCATATATTAAAATAATTAATATTATAGTAAAGTATCATATTTAAACTTATGGGTATAAGGCCAACTTTTGGTGTCCAATGACAGGTGATCAAGCTCGCAACACAGTTGCCACAAGGCCACTCTTATTGGACACCTTAAATTTCTCCCAAAAAAGGCATATAGTAATCAAAACAAGCTCGCAACACAATTCGAAGCAGGGAGGTTATAAAAAGGTTACCTACCTACTCGCCGGAGAAGCACCAGAGGAAGCATCACAACAAAGACTGTAACAGCAATGGCCGCCGCTCTCCCCGTCCACCACTCCTCCCCAAACCACTCCTGTAACACGCCCAAATGCACCGTTCCCTCTGATCTGTTCCCTGACAGCACGTCCCCTGCCACAAAAGCACAAAACCACCCACATAAATCATCCACCACAATCGAACCTCCCCACAAATCACAAAACTCTACCGATAGCCTACCGATGATGATGAGGTACATGATGAGCGCTCCCATATTGGTAAGCGCGACGCAGATCAGAAGCCCTAGCGAGCCCATTCGGCCGAAGGACTCCGCCATGACGCCTGAGTAGGAGGCATCCGCCGGCGAGTCTCCGGCGGCGGTGTAGCGCATGAGGAACTCGACTGATGCGTCGCAGAGGAAGGGGACGACGGCGAGGAGGAAGAAGGCGGGGCCGATGCCGAGGACGCGAAGGGTTGCTGGGATTGACATGATGCCAGCTCCGATAATGCTTGTGGAGATGTTAAAGACGGCGCTGGAGAAGGATGCGCCGACGGGGGGAGGTGAATCGGGTGGTTCGATCTCTGGAAGTAGTGGGACGAAGGCGTTGCAGACTCCGGGTTTCGCCTGAGATTTCATGGCGGTTGGAAATGGGAATAGGGGATTTGGGGATTTTGGGGCTGTGGAGTGTCCCGTGGAAATCGTGGAGCTGTACGGTTTATATAAAAAAATTTTGATGGATGCGGAGGAGCAATTGCAATCGCTAGCTCAACCCAGAGCAGGAGAGGAAGGATGCGGCCATCATTCGCTGGGCCGAGCTAACGAGCACCATTGCCCGCCCCAATATGTAATTCTTATTCCGCATGGTCCTCTTTAGCTCCATGACATGCTCCAACGGTATCAGGGTCTGTTTGGGGAAAAATTATTCGGTCCGACCACCGCATGTTCTCTGCATGCGGTAGCAAATGGCAAATTAACACGTGTAATGGTGGGCCCTCATTGAAGAGAAATAAGCAGAATGCGTGACCCGACCCGAACTCCGCCCAATAACCGGAAAAAACGTATATTTGTGCTTATGGAATCCCGCCAAATCTAGCATTTGGACATTTTCGATCCCGCCAAAGATTATTAAGTGTCTTATGGATGTAGATTTTTTTTATTTCGTCGTCTGTTAGTAGTCGACGAGTAGGGCAGAGCTCGTCTGTTAGCATTCGACGAGTAGGGCAGAGCTCGTCTGTTAGCATTCGACGAGTAGGACAGAGCTCGTCTGTTAGCATTCGACGAGTAGGACAGAGCTCGTCTGTTAGCATTCGACGAGT